GTTATTGTTTTTTGGCTTATTTCTCTTGTGTAGAAAAATTTACCTAAAATCAATTACAAAAAGTTTTGAATGCCTGCTTGCTGCTTCAGTTATGTTTACGGCATGAAGAATTGTGATCATGTTACACAAAAATATAATGAACTCGGTTGGCTTAAGATTAGATTTTTGGTAAAAACTTATCAGCAACAGATTGCCGCTCTATTACGGAATAAACTCTCTTATCGCGGTGATAGACGTAATCTTAATCTACTGACGCAAGTCAATTTCATTCAGTTACCAAGATTTCATACAACTTTTTTTCATATATCTCACTCATTCAAAGCTGTAAACAAACTCAACAACTTAAATGACACTCAAATCCATAAGTTTCCTTAGGCGCCGCTAGAGGGCTCTTTATCTAGAACTCAAAATTTGTTTTGTTCATTTTTCTTTTTTCTCTTGCTAAACTTCTGAGAAATATGAACATTATTGAAGAGATACAATATCAGAAAAAAGCTGATAAATGTAACCGTTTAGCAGGAAATGAAGAGATTAAAATAAAAATTGTACATACAGGGTGTTCTCAAAGTCCGTCAGGAAACTCCGGGAGGTGATTCTACGGATTAAAATATTAGCAGTATGAAAATATTTTTCGAATTGTCAAATGTTTGCAAGTTACAGCATGTCAAAGTTAATTTTTTTTTATTTTTATTTTTACTTGACTTATTTAATTCAAGTTCTCTCATTTGGCACACCCACTAAGTAGATGAAGCTCTATTGAACCAGAAGGAACAATTTCATTATACGCCGCTAGAGGGCACCTTACCTAGAACTTAAAATTTGTTTTATTCATAACTTTTTCTCTTGCTAGTCATTAGAGAAATTTAAACAATATTGAAAAGAGAAACAATGTCAGAAAAAATTATGTATTCTTTATTCAAGCCGGTAAGTATAACCGTTTAGGAGGAAATCGCTATTAAAGTTTTATGAAACATCAAATTTTTTATCATTATTTCTGTAATTAATCAAGTTGCCATGCCGTCTCTTGTAAAATCCAGCTTCGTTGGTAAATAAAATATTATTAGTAAATTCACTATTCTCATCTAATTTTCCACAATGCTATTACAGAGCCAAAAAGGTGAAAAACCAAACTTGTACCTGCTTTAAACAATTTTTGTTACAATTCGTAACACCAAAATTACTAATTCATAGTGCTAATATTTTAATCCGTAGAATCACCTCCCGGAGCTTCCTGACGGACTTGGAGAACACCCTGTATGTACAGTTTTTATTTTAATCTCGTCAAGGTTAATAGTCCAAGAGAATTAAGCTCAAAACTTTCGAGATATGGCTGTTGCTTGACGTAACTTGGATATTAGTAAAAATCGGTCGAAAATAATATATACAATGAAAATATAAGGTTGCGCCAAAAAAAAATGTTGTGCTATTTGCAGAAAAAATTAAAAACTGCAAAATACTCAAAAATTACGTGTTTTTTCTAACATTTTCCAACATAACTTCTTAAATATGCAGTTTACAGAAAAAAACTATTACTGGTGAAATTGTTTGTTATGAAATTTGCTACAAGATAGAATTGTTTTGATACCTGCGCATATCATATTTTTGTTGCTAAATAGCCAAAACAACGTAAGAAAGTGATGAAAATCGAGGTAATTTGGAAGCGTCAAACTGACAGGCAAGAAATTGTCCAATTCTACTATAAATGTAGATGTAAGTACTTTAAACTATTATAAAAACGAAATTCCAAAACCCGGTCCAAATCGGTCTGATAGTATTGGTATGAGACAATTTGTTACTAAATTTCAGCGCGAAATGTCATTATTTTTTTACGTGAGTCTGGGGTAAAAGTTAGACATTTTAATCTGCGCTGATTTTTTAACACTTACTTGGACCCCTTAACAATCATATAGAATCGTTAAAATATCAATTTTCTTTTTTTGAATAATTTTTGGAGCGAATTTAAAAGATAGAAAAATTTTGACTTTATAAACAATTACTTTCGTGAAGCGGTTTTGCGGGTTGGAAAATATACCAAAGTACTAAAAAATAGTTCTCGGAAAGACGCTTAACTTGAAAAAAAAAAAAACGTTCAAATCGGTCCTATAAGTTCCGAGATATCGAGTGTCAAAGTCAACAAGCGTTAGCTGCAAAACTATGCATAATGTAACAACAAAATATGAATTTGGTATGTTTTTTAAGAACTTTTCGTATGTGCTTTAGCCAATATCTCGGCTTCTACGGCTCCGATTTTGATGATTTTTTTAAAATCAATATATCATAGTGAGAGGAATTCAATTATCAAGATTTCATTAAAATATTATAAAGCCCTATCAGTCTATTACGACTACTTAAAATTTCACACATTTCATTGTTGCTGTATATTCATGTAAATAATAATATCGATGGTAGTAGATATACATAGTCCATTGTTAAATGTTATTAGTTTTAATAATTCGTAATAATGTTTAAAACCTTGAAATTTTTATTTAATATATGTATTTATTTAATATTTATAAAACGTATCATCGCATTATTAAAGTATTCCGCTTTTTTACAGCATAGTTGCTGTTTTCGCTCTCAAAATTTTCTTCTACAAGCTGTCATGCGGTGACGGCCCAATAGAATATTTCGGAGACTACTTCGATTTGAATTTTGAAAATTTGGGACCTGGTAGTTTTGGAGGTTTTATTTAAAAAGAGTTTAAATAAAATAATGCCATTGTTGTAGTACTTCCGGTTATACCGGTAGTCGCCACCTATTTGCTTATTATAAATGGAACATCTTATATATTTTTGCATATTTGGATTCTACGCGTAACTTTAGGGGAATTTTATAAAGCTTCACTATATTCATGGTCTAATGGTTTTCGACCTATTTTAATTTCATATTTATTGTTGCATTTGATTGACCGAACCGCCAAAACTTGGTTTTTCTAAATTATACACCCTGTATATTTAATCAAAATCTGTTGTAAAAATTTACTCTATATCTATATCCATATTACATCTCCATATACCTATCTTTTAATTTTTCTGTTTTGACGGTTTTTGTGATAAATAAAATGATCCAATTTCTTGCGAGGATGGCTATGAAATTGCTAGCAAATTTAAAAAATCAAATTAACCAATCATAATCATCCATAAGTCATCATTTGCTGTTAATCTGACAGTGGTACCTACTTACAATAAGTTAAACACTGATTTGAAAATAATGGAAAACGGCACTTATTCAAATGCTGATATTATAACTGAAAACAGCAATGATGTTGTAAAAAAGTGAAAAACTTTAATAATACGATGATAATAAATATATAATAAACACGTTTTATAAACATAAATAGATAATTATTTGTATCTATATCTTTTTCTATATTTTATGCATACAATAAATAAATTACATATTAAATAAAAATTTCAAGATTTTATTTAAACATTATTACCACGTAATTATTAAAACTAATACCTATTAACAGTGGATTATGTTCCTATCTCCTACCATCGATATTACTATTTACATGAATATACAGTAAGTACCTATAACAAATGTGAGAAATTTTGAGTAGTCGTAATAGACAGAAAAGGGCTTTATGATAATGAAATTGATTCCTCTCATTTTGCTTTATCGATTAAAAAAAAATCATCAAAATCGGAGCCATAGAAGCCGAGATTTTGAACGCCGAAGCGCGCGCGCTTTTTTTGCGCGATTTCAATTTCTATCATTCATCTCCTCCCTTCGGTTTTGCGGCACAAATGGTCGGCTTGACGATATTAATTGAATTTTCATAAAAAAGCACACGTGCGATCATATTTATAAAAACACATACGGAAAGTTCTTGAAAAAACCTACCAAATTCAATTTTTATTTTTGTTACATTATACATAGTTTTGCAGCAAGCGCTTGTTAACTTTGACACTCTATATCTCGGAACTTATAGGACCGATTTGAACGTTCTTTTTTTCAAGTTAAGCGTCTTTCGGAGAACTGTTTTTTAGTACTTTGGTATATTTTCCAACCCGCAAAACCGCTTCACGAAAGTAATTGTTTATAAAGTCAAAATTTTTCTATCTTTTAAATTCGCTCCAAAAATTATTCAAAAAAAGAAAATTGATATTTTAACGATTCTATATGATTGTTAAGGGGTCCAAGTAAGTGTTAAAAAATCAGCGCAGATTAAAATGTCTAACTTTTACCCCAGACTCACGTAAAAAAATAACGACATTTCGCGCTGAAATTTAGTAACAAATTGTCTCATACCAAAACTATCAGACCGATTTTGACGGGTTTTGGAATTTCGTTTTGTAATCCTTTAAAGTACTTACATCTACATTTATAGTAGAATTGGACAATTTCTTGCCTGTCAGTTTGGCGCTTCCAAATTACCTCGAATTTCATCACTTTCTTACGTTGTTTTGGCTATTTAGCAACAAAAATATGATATGCAATTCTATCTTGTAGCAAATTTCATAACAAACAATTTCACCAGTAATAGTTTTTTCTGTAAACTGCATATTTAAGAAGTTATGTTGAAAAATGTTAGAAAAAACACATTTTTGAGTATATTTGCAGTTTTTATTTTTTTTCTGCGAATAGCACAACTTTTTTTCTTGGCGCAACCTTATATTTTCATTGTATATATTATTTTCGACCGATTTTTACTAATATCCAAGTTATGTCAAACAACAGCCATGTCAATGTGTAATTCTCCTGGACTATAAGTAGAATAGCCACTGGCTAGACTTCGCCTTCTAATCAAATAATTTTAAATAAAGAGATTTATTATTATTATATTATTATTTAAGTTCATTAATTTAGCTCACTAGTGACTTATGGGCTGCTTATACTACTACTACTATACCTCTGAGATGATACTTAACAATAATTGGTACCTACCTTACACAAAAGTATGAGTTCCATGAAAGTCCCTCAACGCAACCACTTACATCCGGCAATCAGTGATAATATGAAACGTATAATAAATGGATAATTTTATAAGTCATCAGTATTAGTGCACAAAAGCAAACACTGGTGCTACTAACGTAAGAACTATGGTTTACAGTTATAGATTATCTGTTGAAGATGAAGATGTTGAACAAGGTCCAAATGCAACCAAAATAATGACGGATCGCAGTTTTAAAGGTAAATACATTAGATAAGTATAAGGTTAACTGAATATATTAATATAGGGACTTAGTTTGAAATGTTTCCATTACTTCGTAATATTTTTCATTACTACCTTCTAACATATATAAAACAAAAAAATATTTTTGCCAATTAAATCTATATGTGTCTATTTACGTTATATATTTAAAAAGTGAAAAACAGATTTGACTGACAATTAAAGTACCTATACATATGGATGTTTATCGAAAAGGAACCAAGCACCAAATTAAAAAATTTATAACATGAATCCTTACAGGAGGATCAAATTTATTGTAGGTATAAAAGAAATCCAAACTGGTGACAATTTGATGGGTGATTTTTTTTTAAATAAACATTAAAAGTATGTAAAACTGATACAATGTACCTCAAGCAAAATAGAGTTTAGTTCAATACTATCAATGTGTAGTACCTATGTATAAAAACAGTCAATAAAATTTCTCCTTGCAAAGATTTTGCAATTATTTCTGAGTCATTGACGATACCATATTTGGTTTTTACCTATCAACTGACTTTTGATTTCAAAAGAAAATGGAAGTGTAGTATATACAGGATTGCAAAACATGGGTTTTCTTCATGAGATAGGTTAATAAAATAATTAAGTCTTAAAATAACTCATTGTGATTTATAACATTTACATTAAATACCTCAATATATTCCGTGATAAGATTTCATCATTTGTCTTTTTAGTGATATCAACTTCACAGGATTTTTTATATTTAAGTTTATTATGCTCATACTTTTATGTGACTATGCAGCGGTTTTCGGAAGTTATTATCTGATATCAGATGGATTAGTAATAGTCCGAGAGCGGGCGGCACATTTTAGTGACCAAGGCCGATTTTCATCCATATGTAAGGTCTTTTATGGTACATAAGCGACACGACCTCCAGCTCATATATGTCTGTAAATAAGCCTTGGAAAAATGACTACCCTCAAAATGACACAGGCTCCTGGACTATTACAGCTGTTTTCCAATATTAAGAAAGTGTCTGATTACCGGTAACTGTTTCCGAGCGGACTAGGGAAAAACCGTTTAACGTCAAAGCCAAGCATACATTTTTTAGTGGTTTAATCCATGATCTAATACAAAAAGAAGTACTTATACTTTCTTTACAATAATCTACATAGCAAACAACTATTGAAATATATTAACATCTTGAAAAGAAAAAGAAATACCAATCTTGAACCATTAATTCAAAACTTGCTTGCAAATTGTATGTATTAGGAATAAACCAGATTAGATTATTACAACTCATATCTACTGTTTAAAGGCGTGTTCTGACTAATGCTTAATTAAAATTACCCAAGAATGTTTCCATGGAACTATTTACATTTAATTAAGCGCTAGTGAGAAGTGGTTCCTCTACTTTATTAATTACTTTAATCATCCAATATTTTTCTGTAAATTAAGCTCTGAGATAATATGGCTTCTTATTTTTCATTTTATGAAAAAATTTTCTTTTGTAACGATGGTTGCAGCTAATATTGCATTGTAGCGTCAACGCTGAAAAGTTCAAACGGACCAACTTTCCTGCGTCATGGCGTCTATTATCATAAAGGTGGTCAGTTTGAATTATTGTGTAGTAAATCTATTTATTTGTTGTTATAATTAATTAATAAATATGTTCCAGGTTACAGCAAATGACTTTGAGATAAAAATATGTTAGTAGCGATCGGTATTGACATCTGGATGTTCTGGACATCCTTTTGTAATTGCAACAGATGAAAAGACGAAGAGACACATTTAGAGCATCTAGATTAATATCGAACGCTACTAATAGCTTTGTTCGCAGAGCCATTCAAACCAGTTTGGGATCAGTCAGAAGCAATCGTCTAGCTACTTCTTTTATGCTATACTTGTGCGAAATATCACATAAAGTAGCTGGACGACTGCTTCTGACTGATCCCAAACTGGTTTGAACGGCTCTGCGAACAAAGCTATTATATTATTTTTACGTTATGTTTTCCTTACCATTTCATCCATAAATAATGTTTATAATTGTTCATTATTTATGTCTTACTTATTCTGAAAATATCGGTAGAGAATTTAAGACTACCCCGTATAAATAAATAAAATTATCAAGTTATTTCTATAATTTACAGACATTTTCAGATAATCGTTTATTTAATTTAAATTTGAAAACAGATTTTTAAAAGAAAACCAATTATTTTTGCACCTCTGCTAACTTAAAGGCTGATTTCAATTTTGTTGTAAACCTTCTATTTAGGCTGTGTTGAATGCTTAATGAAACATTAATGTGTTGTCCTCTTTTAGACAAATTTGATCTATTAACTAGGTACACTGTTTTCTTTTCCAGGAAAAAGAGATCAGTTACTAAAACTGGTAGTTGGAAAACATGGAGAAAATGTCAGTCACGCAGAAAATATACAAAGGATTCAGCGTATTTTAGAAACAAATAAAAATTTATTGACTTACCAATATTGGGAAGACAACAAAATAAGATCTGTTTTACATATTGTCAAATATAGTTCCAAAATGAGATATGATTATAAACAGCAAGTAATAAACACTATTATAGATGTCGGATGTAGACTATTTAAATTTTCAGAAAATTCATCCTTTAGAGACAAATGCCTCTCTCTTTTTTTTGCTGCTGCTAAAAGCGATTTGGAAGATTTAAGAGAAATTATTATTTATTTCAGAAATAATGATTTGACAAAAATATATGATACCCGAGAAGGTGATACCATCATTTCTTTCATGGTAAAATTTGGAGATCATTTTCATGGAGATTTTTTTAATTGCTTAAAACTTTTGTTAGAGGAAGGCATTGATGTTGAAAGAGTTGACTATTACAAAAATAATGTAAGAGGAGTAATTAGAAAGGAAAAGCAGTTTTTAGAGAAAAATAAAGTTGACAATAAGTACATAGACAAATTAAAGGAAATTTGTGATTATGTGGATACATTTTCCAAATTAAATCAGGACTTTAACTCGAGAATAAACTACAAATATAAACTGTTTCAAGGAATTATAAACGAACAGAAAAATTTAAAACACATTTTAAAACAAAAATTGGTGGATTCTGACGACGGGGAGAATACTCTTCTGCAGCTAGCTATTATTAAGAATAATGTAGAAATAACGAAAGAATTGTTAAATGCGGGGGCGAACCCTAATCGTGTAGTTCAAGGAAGAAATGAAGAAGTTCCTCTCGTATTGGCCGCTAAACTCCAAAGAGATAAAATTTTTCAAGAAATATTAATAAATAAGGACATTGAGATTAGCGAAATCATGTTTGTCAAGTTTGTAAAAGAATTAAAAAGGAAGTTCTTAAATTCTTTGTTAGAGATTGAAAACCTGAACGTGGACTTTGAATATAAGGGTAAAACACCATTGCACTATGCTATAATGGAAAATAATAAAAAAGCTGTACAATCCTTACTCCAAAGAGGCTCTCGTGTTGATGAAACTTGTCTACAGTATATCAATCCTAAAGATCTAGAAGATTATTTCAATTCATGTATTAAATTTGACAACTTTAGAAAAGATTTCGAAGAAGGTGATTTTAAACTCTTCCTGGTGTTTGATTTTTTTATCATATCGTTTAGGAAACATTCTAAAAAACAAGCAATCGAGAATTCTGCTGAGTCAACACAGTTGTTTGGAAAAAATAAAATTTCTCCCGAGGAGTTTAATTCAGAACTAGCAATTGTCGAAAATATTGGAAATATTAAAAGGCTTAAACATCTACTTGAGCATCCCTTAGTGTACATATATATCATGTTGAAATGGCACAGTGTATTGAAGTATTATTATTGTATTACTATTGCAAAATCTGTTTTCTATATAATGATGGGACTTTTGATATGTTCATTTAATTACTACTTGGCAACTGTTCTCCTAATAATACAACTTATTGTTGTGTATTACAATTATTCGGAATTTAAACTGGAATTTAGGAGATATACTTTGCATTTTATTTTAGAATTTCTCATTTTTATTTGTTTAGCGGCAATTTATATACTAAAATCTTTAAATAATGACAAATTTGTAAAAGTCATAAACGAAATATCAGCCTTCATTATTATTTTCATTTCTGTATCTATACTGTTAACCATCGGTTATCATTTAAAATTGTCTAAATGGGTAGCAATGGCAAAAAGAATTTTCAGAAATTTTAGTATATTATTATTGTTTTTCATGGTTCCTATCAGTGCATTCGCGACATCATTTATGTTACTATCAGAAACAGATAACGGTGATTTTTCAAGTTTCTATGGATCACTTTTCAAAACATTTATTATGATAGTCGGTGAAATAGGAGATGTAAAATTTACTGGTATAAGTAGTTACTTAATTTTTGTTTTATTCACTCTTGGTGTAGCAATAATGTTACTAAATTTTTGGATAGGTATAGCCGTCGCAGATATTAACGAAATAAAAAAACAATCGACGATTGTGGCTTTTCAGCAAGTCATATCGTATGTACGAAGCTTAGAAAAACTGTACAATTTTATCTTTGATAATAAGTTATACAGCGAGAAACAAAAACCCTCTTTGAGGTCAAGAATAACATTAAAAAAATTTAAAAGGTATAAATACTGTTATGGCGTCGATTTTTATATGAATTCTCAGAAACAATTTAAGAATAACAAATATTTCAGAAAGTGCAAAATACCCATAAAAATAGTTTCAAAAATTAAATTGCTATATGAAGAAGACAAGACAAAATCATTTGATAGCATTGTTACGAAATTAAATGAAATTAAACAGTTACTTAATGATCACATTAATCAAACTCAATAAATATTAAGTCCAATACAATTAATGGTACTATTTATTATTAACTAACTGTAAGCAAATGAGTATGTATAATATATAATAAAGTAATGCCATCTAATAAAATTATGTACTTACCTACAAATGTACCTATAGTCTGAAAATACACATTTTCTATTAAATATATTTAAATTAGAGGATATTTTTTATTTATTTTATAAAATTTAAAATTTTTAATTGATGATATTGATAGGGTAAAAACCTTTCTTTGGAGTCCAGTGACGTAATCATATTTTACATTTCTACATTTTGTCTAAATTAACAAGCAGGTTTTGATAATTAAAATTTAATTTAACATTATGTAACATAATATAACTTCTTACGTTTGTACAGGGTGTCATCTAAAGAATGTTACATACTTCAAAGGTATAACCTAGAACTCAAATGGTGTCGATTTAATCAAACTTGCTTAAACGAAAAATGTCGCAAAAAAAAGTTACAGGGTGTTAAAGTTTCTTTTTTATTTCTTGTTTTCTCCTTAACTCAGAACCCAGTTAACCGATACATTTTTTGGGTAGAATAAAATTCTCTACCTATTTCTAATAGTTGCGTGTAAAAATTTAAACGTACAAAATAGTTACAGAAGAATATTCACAAAGGGTTGTAGTAAAATGAACGTCATATATGAGTTAACCTAATAGGAACATAATCACTGCATACTTCATGATGAGAAACTAAGCAACAGCAAATATTGCTCAAATCGGTTAACTGGGGTCTAAGTTAAGAAGAAAACAAGAAATAAAAAGAAGAAATAAAAAAAAGAAACATTAATAAACACCATGTAACCTTTTTTCATGTTTGGTTAAATCGATACCATTTGCGTTCTAGATTATACCCTTGAAGTATGTAACATTCGTTAGGTGACACCCTGTATACTCTCTTGAGTCGCCCTCTAGTAGTTTCTTATCTAAGTTTGGCTGATTCTCTAAATAATATTTATATTTCTTTCAAAACTTAATCTACTAGTTTAAAAATCTGCAAAAATGTAAATGCATTGAATAGTGTCAGAAACAGAACATCATTAAAATATTGAAGAAAATAAAGAAATTACTCTCCTGTAAAATTTGTATTTTGTAACTTGGTATAGTTCTGCTCTAAGGGGACGATATATTATATACATAGTTATACCTAGTATAAACAAGGGCATTAGTCTATGTATGTAGTACATGTTATTACAGAAAACATGTATGTATAATATAGGTAATTAGACCACCAGTAAGTCTTTACTATAAAATAATATATGGCCAATCTTTCATAAAATCCTTATTCAACAAGGGCGAAAGGGACATTATAGGAAAGTTATTGTCATCTGATACTTTAATTCCTAAACTTGAATAGTTGTTTAATTATATTATATAAGCTGTTACAAATTCGCATCTCACTACAGGGAACTCGTAAACGGTAAGACGTACGAAGTAGCTTAAATGGGGGCAAAGTTGCGTAATCGGGAGACTAACATTATGCCTCTAAAAAATCAAGGCTAGAATGATTAATTTTCGAAGTATTTGAAAAAAAAACGAAATTTTGGAAATCCGTTTTTATTTAATTTCAGCCTTATTTGAGGTGATATTGAAAAAAGAACACTTTCTCATGGCCACTTTTTTAAATGCGACCCTGGAAATTTTATTACATTTTTTGCAAGCTTTCATGACCTCCAGTACTGTACTGCCTCAGCCCGAACCAGATTCAGACGTTTTGTCTCGAAAAATTCATCTTCAGTGGATTCGTTCCAAATTTATCTAAATTTTTTATTTAGATTATTTTGTTTATTGAATTATCATACACTGTAAGTGTCGTTAGACCCTGTGAAATAGATCTAGTTATTTAAACTATTACTACCACGCATTAAAATACATAATATCATTATTAGAGTTTTATTCCCGTGTCTATAGTTATTTCTAGGTTTCTCGAGTGCTCAAAATTCAAACAAATTTCGATCTATTTTTTTCAGGATATTCATACAAATACATCTGACATGCTCTGTCACATTTCATTTTTAACCTTTGCCAAAACGAAAATGATTTTGAACATTTACTGAAATTGTTTAAAGAAGAACATTCAGTTGGCGTTTTAGTTGTTCATATGCATTTTTAATAATTAATTTGTCATAATAAAATTAAAATTATAATATTGTTTTAATTTTGACGCAACAACTTATTGAGTTATGTATGACCAAGTGATGGTAATAGTTAATAATGATAAATGTTTTATTGTGTGATGGTAACAGTTTAAATAACTAGATGAATTTCACAGGGTCTAACGACACTTACAGTGTACGATAATTCAATAAACAAAGAAATCTAAATAAAAAATTTAGATAAATTTGGAACGAATACACTAAAGATGAATTTTTCGAGACAAAACGTCTGAATCCAGTTCGGGCTGAGGTAGTAAAGTATTGAGGGTCATGAAGGCTTGCAAAAAATATAATAAAATTTCTAGGGTCGTATTTAAAAAAATGAAGTTGATGATGGTCCTGGAGAGACGAAACGTTACACATAAAAATTGATTATGCCATTCGATTGTGGGCAAAAAATTTCCATGAAAAAGTGTTCTTTTTTCAATATCACCTCACACAAGGTTGAAATGAAACAAAAACGGATTTCCAAAATTTCAGTTTTTTTTTCAAATATTTCGAAAACTAATCATGATTGATTTTTTAGAAGCATAATGTTGGTCCCCTGATTACGCAACTTTGCCTCCATTTAAGCTACTTCGTAGATCTTACCGTTTCCGAGATCCCTGTAGTGAGAAGCGAATTTGTAACAGCCTGTATGTAAGGAAACAAACAATAGCCAATGTTACAGGGTTTCAGTTCAGCTTCCTATTAACAGACACACAATTAAGGCATATTTTAGCATGTTATAGATGTCCGCCAAATTTGCTTCACTATTTTGATAATTTCATAGTTAAATAATGATTCCAAAGTAAGAAAAAATGCATATAAAATTTTGTTTGGTAATATCTGCAAAGGTGACAAACATCCCATTGTGTAGATATTTATAAGGATGTTTGTTTTCGTGTATTTTGTTTATGAAACCAGTAATACATTCTAATTTCCACATTTTAAATCTAGTAAAATATTATATTCGGTATTTATCGGTACGATAAGTTTGAAATTCTGTGAATACTTTTGTTAAAATTAAAAACTATTACCTTTTATAAAAACTGCCCTTTTGCCAGTAGAATAGTTAGTTTATACTGAATTTTCTTTACAATAAAGGTCTTATTCTAAAGAGGATTCAAGGGAAGGTCTGAAAGTCCGTAAAACAGAACATTCTATATAAGTGTTTAGAATAAAATACGTATGCAATAATGTATGTGAGATGAATAATATAACGGATGATGTATTGATAGATTTCCAATGCATTTGCATAATTATTCTGTTTGATTTGTTTTAATCTGTACCGCGCTAGCCAAAGTGACCTAACGCATTTCCAGTGCAGTTGTATAGTAGGATCGTATACGATGCAAAGTAGAGCAAAAAATTGTCGGCCTTTTATCAAAGGAAAATCGTGTCATCATTTTTAGGAGGCGTACGATAAATCATTTCAAATTTAAAATGAAATTCAATGTAAAATCTGAAATACCGCTGCATACGCACTGTGTTCTGGTAGTAGCTGTAGTCGCCCAGGTGCATCGAGTGTACGAACTGATCGGTTATACGTCAAATACTAACCTGGCGAGCTTTGCCGTCAATTAGAGAGCGCTTCCAAAAAACAAGTAAACAACAGTGGCGCGTACAGAGGTAAAATGTAGTACATATGTGGAATTTAGGAAACAAATTGGATTTATAATAAATTACATTTAAAATAAATAGTTTATGAGAATAAAGGAATTTTTGTAGCAACAAGGGTGCCAGACCTGAACTGATCCCCTCGTCCCTTCATAATGTATAAAGAAATTATTTAATTTGTAAAATCCTTAAAGGCGTACTTCATTGGTTCCCTTGACAGGCAATGATTTATTACTTTGCATCGAATATGATCGTACTATAGTCATTTACTGAAAGAATGATACCCGTTGCACACATGCCGGAACCGGCTAACCGGATCCGGTTAGCCGGCAGCAAGGTGTACAGAGTCTTATGACAGCTTTCACACGTGACGGAACAAGCTATCCGGCGAACGGCCGCCGGGTTATAGCCGGTCGCCACCACTGCCAGCCCGGCTGCCGTGTACCGGCTTTAAATATTTGTACGCAACTATGTCGAATGTTTGTTCGCTAGAAGTAGATGTAGCATTCGTTATATCACTGCTTGAATCCAGACCTGTCCAGTGGGACAAAACTGTAGCCTTTTCATATTTTTTGGATATTTTTCATATTTTTTGTGTTTTTTTATTGCGACGACATCGGCAATAGCCAAGCCACATAATTGCAATGCGTCTACGATTCATCTCTTGTCGTGATAAAAATGCAACCGAGACTAATATCGGCCAAACCGGTTTGAAAATTAATTTACGTGTAGAAGAGCCAGCCGGATCCGGATAGCCGGGTCCGGTTAGCCGATCCGGCTAGTGTGCAACGAGGCTTAACTCTTTTGTTTTGTTCTTGTTGAATTCTGTACCACTACCAAGTGTTCCAAGAAATTTTCACTTATAATCTCGCTAGTGCTTGAATTATTTGCGGAAATTTTTCCGAAGGAACGCATTTTTTGAAAATTGAAGTCCCAAAATTTGAAGGTTGCCATGGGCAACTGTCGAAATTACAGTATGTAATTGGCTTAAAACAGGCTGACAGGTGTAAGATTTTCATATAAATTTGGCACGATGAAATTTAAATAAATAGTTATTAGTTAGGCATCATTATGGATACTTTTCACGATACGCATTTGCAATTTTTTATTTTTTCTGTTGCTAAAATTGTTTTGAATATTTTTATAACTCAATTTTTTATATTTTCACAAATATATAACACACTATTGATCATAGTTTGGCATGAAAATCATTTAATAAATTATTTTTGTCAGTAAACTAAATATAAAAGATTTTCGTTATTTTTCATACTAAATATAAATTCCATATAGAAGTAGAAGTATTATACAGGGTGTTCTGAATGTCCGTCGGGAAATTCAGGGAGGTGATTCTACGGATGAAAATAATAGCAGTACCTATGTAACGAAAATTTTTTTCGAATTTTAAACACAAATTATTACGTTCGAAAAATCAATGGAGTGAAATATTGCATTTTTGTTACAGGTAGCAAAAAATTGCGCCAATTATTTTCTCAAACTTCAAAACATAATTATTA